TTAGTAATGAGTTAGGCGCGTTTAAGTGATTTTCGGGAGGGGACCTTGTATGGGAGCTATGTCCAATTATGGACCGATCCAGATTTTTTCTTTCAATGAATTCTATTGACATAAGATTTTAATTTGTAAAATTTTGTGAAGATATCGATATTCTGACGGAAGTTATTAACAAAAAACTCATTTTCTGGGAATATGTACTTTTGTATGGGAGGTATATGAAATTATGGACCGATTCTGGCAATTTTCAGCAGGAATCAATATCTTGTGTAGAAACGAATATATGATGACTTTCATGAAATTATCTTGCATAGTTTTCGAGAAAATTACATCAAAATGTGTAAAAAATGCTTATTTTTTCGGAGTTGTTTTAAATTTTGATTCATAACTTTTCCCGAAGTGAACGAATTTTGCTCATTTCAATACCAAACTGTACCGGATAATAATGAATATTTTGGGTGAATTTGGTTAATTATATTGCTTCGTTTTAACGTGAGCGTGTTTTACACAGACAGACAGACGGACGGACGGACAGACGGACATAGCAAAATCGACTCAGAATTTCATAAGGACCCAGAATATATATACTTTGTTGGGTCTCAGATGAATATTTCTTGGTGTTACACACGGAATGACAAAGTTATATATACCCTCTATCACCACTGATGGTGGTGGACGGTATAAAGATAAAGTCAATTTCGAAAAATTGTCCTATATATGGACTTTTATCAGTAGATTAATGTGAATTTCGGATTAGGGCCTTTAATGAGCGATTTTGTCAATTATGGACCAAGAGCTCCCCAATTAGAGAAGAACATATGTATGTAATTATTTTTTATAAATTCTATCTTCTCTCTTAATGCAAAACTTACCAGTTGAGCTCAAACACTTAGTTAGTTTGAAAGGAGGAAGTATATTATACATCAAACTTGAAGAAATAAACCTAGGCCTCTATTGGGCCTGTTATGTACTCCTTAACCAGTGCCTCAGGTGGGAATCGAAACCACCACCCCCCGGTCTACCAAACTAGAACACTAACCACTAATCTACCGGAGACCAAAATCGTCGCTGCTATAAACTTATTTTCTCTAAGAGGGTTTATACGGTGGACCGATCTTTATAAAATTAAATTTCATAATTACACCGACATTTTAAAGCCAGTTATTAGCTTTAAAGTAATTATCTGAAGAAGTGATATAGTGAAATTTTTAAGTCAGTTATGAACGCTAAAGTTATTTTTTGAAGGGGATCTTATAGGGGTGTGTAGGATCAATTATGAACCGATCTTCATACATTTATTAGAGAGATATCGGTTTATATGAAACTTATTTGTGTAAAATTTGATCTCTTTACACCTATTTTAAGTCAGTAATGAACGTTAAAGTAACTTTCTGAAGCGGCCTTATATGGGAAGTAAGGTCAATTGCGTAAAACGATATTTTACCATAATACTTGTTTATGTCCAATTACATTAATAACTATAAGGAAACCAATTAATTCTACCCATAAATGAATTAAAAAGCTCAAACGTATGCAGAATATTTTTCGTGCGCACTCCGTAGAAGGGATTTTTTTATATCTTTAAATAACTCCTTAACATGGATGATGTTGATGGAAAAACATGCATACTGCTTTATAAATGTGTTATAGCCTGATGTTCAGAAACTCAGATTCCGGGAAGCAGTTTCTTAAAATGTCTCAATCAAGATATTCGCTTCCAAGACATTTTGATCAAATTTCGAGGAAAGACTGGGAGAGATCTCTCTGGATGATCTAAATTCGTCCGAAATACGAACATCAGACTTGCTCTGGAAGATTATGCGGCCTTAGATTTACTTTATAAGCTGTTATCGCCCTAATTGCCTTCTGGTAACCAAATTTATTCCAATCCAGTTAACACCTTCCGTTATTGCAAGGACTTCTGACTGGAAGATAGTGTTGTTATTGAATAGCTTATGCATACACATCCATAACTAAATGAAACTGTAATTTAGTCATTACTAGTCCACATCTACTGTAATGCTAGTGGCATGTAGTGAAATTTATGTAATAGTGGTAACCATGATTTTTGCTGGGTTACATATAATTGTCAATGTAAATCGATTTGTGTGGTATGTTGAAATATCTTAAGAAGAATATTTTTGTTTTTATTGGATACCTCTTTCACTCCTCATTTTTGGAGAACTTACAACCTTATATGGAGATCCATTTTAAAGTGCATTTCATTTATTATAATTTTTTTTTCGTTGCACTTTTTTCGTTTTAACTTTAAAAGTTTTTCGATCGAAATTAATGTACCAAAAAGCCATTTAGAGATTATGTCACATTTTAAAAACAAACCAAAAAAATAGAAAATATCAAATAAAATAAAGGAAACAAAACTTTGGATTTTATAGACCATTCACCATAGTGTGTCTGTTTGAGTATATTACTACTCTGCAACTGTTCTATATTATATTGACTGCAAACAGATATGTATGTATGTATGTATGTATTTTATAATCTGTTGCAGGATAATAGTACATTCTAGTATGTGGTAGCAATGTGTGGTGGGCGGTGATAGAAACAAATTTTTATTTTCAATTGACACCATTGTCGTAGTGAAATAATATCAACGTCATAATACGCTCAATTGCACAGTTAAATAATATTGACACAATCTTCCACCTAAATCTCTCACCATTCATTTAGTCCTTGTTGGTCGGGCGGACAGACGGACGAACTGACAGACAGACAGACGAACTGTTTGTCTATTTTATTTTTCTATATTTGTAACTGTATTTGCGTGGTTAGTGGAGATAGTCATTCATTCGTTCAGTAACTCCATCACGTTAGCGCCATTTTAATCTAAATGCAATAAATGTTGAAGATTTTTTTTTGTATTTATTTCAAATATTAAAAAATTAAAAATACAAATAAAAGTTCTATATTCGGTTATACAGAATCTAATATATGGCATTCTCCATATGGGCAATTCCATGAAAAGGTAAACCACGACTGAAAAAATAAAACCCTTATAACTTCTGCATTTTTGAAGATAATTCAACAAAATTTGGTATATGATCTTTTGTAGCACCAGAGACGAAGACTGTTGAAAATTTTTGAAATTAATCTATTTTTACACCTCGCCGCCATACAAACGGACCCGAAAATATTACTTTTTAGCTCATAATTCTGTTAATTATAATACTATCCCTTCAAAAATCGGCAGATCTAAAATGTTTATAAGCCTAAACCTTTATGCCGATTTTCATAACGATTGGACCTCATTTGACCCTAGTTCCATTCAAAGTTTAATTTCAGAAAAACACTTAAACGTCCGTAACTCACCTCTAATCACTAGTATTATGATAAAATTTGGCACAAATAAGTTTTATATGAATTAAAATCACACCCTAGAATTTTATGTGGATCGGTCCATATTTGACCCTAGTCGCCATATAACTCCAGTTTTTAAATTTCCAAAATATATATTTTAGTATTCTTTAAATTTAACAGAATGACAAAATTGTTTTCCAAGTACTCCTAATTTTACAAAATCTATACCACTCTGTCACATACAAGCGTATGGAATTGCTCATATATAGAGTTCACGTGGTAAAAATTCTATATCGTTTTACGAATTGAAAAATTCAAAATTATGCTCCAACCGTTTCTTTTCAAAATAAACGAATCAGGATTAAAATTAGTTTAAAGTAAAGTTAAAGCTAACAAATCAGTTTTATTTTTAATCCCGTCCAAGATTTCACATTATAATCCTGTGATTATTTATTGCTTCTATATAATGCAGCAGATAATATCCAGATGCATATTAAAATGTTTGTCATTCTACATATTTAATAACAAGACAGTTGTTATTTACAAACTTATATTTTATTTAAAATTGCATGTATTTATTTTTGTTTATTTTAATTAATTAATTTAGAGAAAAATATTCGTTTGGCCTTTTTATTCTAATTATTTTTGTTACTTTGTAAGTTTATCAAATATCAAATATTTATTTTTTATTGTTGTTACTTTTATTCACAAACATAATATGTATATAATACATAGAAATGCAATTTTAATTTTACAAATAAATTTTTCTAATTAAAATTTGATAGAAAAACAATTTTTATTTATTTGTACAGTTGTTGCACATTTTATTTAAATATAAATTTTATGTACATACATACATTGATGTTGTTGTATTATTTTTATGTATTTTGTTTTATTTTTTGGGGAATAAACTTTTTATGGAGATTAATTTAATGGCAATTTATATTTGACTGAATGTTTGCTCTGTCAGACACATGCTGACAAATTGACATTTACATGCATTATCCAACAGATTGTGACACACAAAGAACTGAATCATTTTGCGAAAAAAATTTATAAATATCTCTGGAAATAGAAGTATTTAAATGTGTTTTTAACCTTGTTAAAAGAAATTGGTTGGAAATGAAAATTAATTTGTTGTAGTTTGTTTCGAAATATTAGTGGGGTCTACTACCATTAAAGTTTATAAATTTATTCTAGGTCCCTATTATTTCTACCATCATATTGTTCGTTTTACTATCTCAAATTCTGTAGAGTTCCGTCCATATACGACACAGTCCTAGATCCTGTCTCGTATACCCTATCATTTCTATAATATCAGTCTAACAAGCGGTCGGCATACATAACTAGATCATAAACTCAGGACCAATAAATTTTGACATCTACGACTAATAATGATTAAATTACATTAAGTCTCTGAAATTATTTTTCTTATTTAATAGAATCAATTCTAATTTTCCTAAACAAATTGCACACGATTGTTTGAGTTTTCTTCTATCTATTCGTCTGTTTATCTTAAGAGACAATAAAAACTAAAAAAAAGCTGAAGTATGTCTCTTATCTGTCTTCCAAATTGTTTATTATGTATTATAATACGATTATAGTCATTTTTTGATTTATCCTGTTTGTATGTTTAAACATAGTTTCATTTTTTCGTTTATATTTTTCTATATTTTTTTTTTTAGGTTAAACCATCCGATAGTTCATTGTTAAAAGTGACGACACATACAAAGGCACATGGTACACTGCAATACAAGATAAAAATACTAAAGGAACTACCATTGGATGAGCAATTATTTGTCCATGTCCATTCACCGGCAACAATGCAAGATATTCAAGTAAGTTTTTTTTTTATAATATTATATACATTTTTGTTGCTTTCTTTTTTAGTTTAACTAAACATGAATGATTATGGAAATCTTAACATAGGTTTGGTAACGAAATATAAAGAAAGATTTCTGTGTAATATAAAGGCTTTGTCAACAAGAACTTGTTTATTCTCTGGTTGACATATCAGTAGTACAGACTTTGGAAATTTTTACAATAAATTCAATTTTGCTTATAAATTGCATTAAAATATTAAAAATTGGAGATCTAAAAACATCATTCTGAGGCCCTTATTAAGAATTTGTACAAATCCTTGGCGTAATTAATGGAATAAATGCGCTAGGTTAGGTTAGGTTAATTTGACAGCCGCCCGAGGTAATGCTCACTTGGGTCCAGATAGGTCCCGTTGTGTTACCATGATATTAACACTCTACCAATTGTCCTTATCTTTCGCTAGGGCGTCAGCAGGAACCTACACAAGGGTAACCGATGAATGTCTCGCTATCTTCTCGAGAGACGACCGGCATTCTTGGACAACTTTCGACGTGGTATACACATTCTCTAGGGATTTAATGGCTGCTTTGCTATCAGTAAATATGTGGATTTCTCTGTTAGATATCCCATAATACTGTATGTATTCTGCAGCAATTTTTATGGCCATAATTTCAGCCTGTAATACACTGCAGTGGTCAGGGAGTCCTTCCGACAGTCTTAAATTTAGCTGTTCCGAGTAAATTCCACATCCTACTCCTACGTGTGTTTTTGATCCATCAGTGAATATTTGAATGGAATCATCCATTATGTATTGGCCATTTGTGTAGCTCATTCTATCCGGAATGTTTACTGCCCGGATCGAATACCGGCTCAGGTATGACATAGTCAAGTAATAATTTCATGCTTATTTGTTCTAAAATTTTTCCATGCCTTGGTAGCTCCAAGTCTCATTACGGTTTTCGCAGCGACTTGTTTTCCATAAATGTCGGGTGATACCGAGTTTAGGATAGTAAAGAGCGCTTTTGACGGTGTTGTTTTCAGTGCTCCTGCTACTATGATTGCAATCATTCTCATGATGCGTTCGAATTTGCTCCTTTGATTATTCCTCTCTAGCTAGCCACCAGACCTTCGCACCATAGAATAGAATTGGTCTGATGACTGTTTGATATATCCAGTATATGTTTTTAGGGTTTAAGCCCCAGTTAAGGCCTATTCCCTTTATACAACTGTAGATTGCAATGGCCGCTTTGGAGGTCCTGTTAAGAGTGTTCAGGTTCCAGTTGAGTTTGCTGTCCAAAATCAGACCCAAGACTATCAGACAGTGTTAGTGCAGTTCCAATAAATGCGCTAATTTGCTAGAATGTTATTTAAATTTTTGATGAAAGAATCGCCGAATCTGCCCAATATCACTTTTAATTAATAATTGCCCAACGCCACTCTTTCCAATACAATAAAATGTATGTATGATTTTGGAAAAAAATAAGTTCTTGTTGAATAATCCTTTATCAGAAAATTTTAAAATTTTTACACTCTTTCCAATTGCATTTGAGAACTATCAGAAAATTCGTTTCCCATATATTCGAATTTTTGTACTTAATTTATATGGGAGTGTTACGCCTCATACTTCTAGTACGCGATTTTTATTTTGACCAAATGAATTTTAAAATTGTTCTTGCAAAATTTAAGGATTTTAGCTATTAAAGTTTCTCATATATAGATTTTCTTCTATATAATTCATATAGTAGGTGCCACGCCCTTTATTGCTAGTCCGCCCATTTTTGTTTTAAATGTACATTTTGATACTAAAGTTTCTCTGACTCTAGCTGATATATATTTTCTCAGTGATACTAATTTAATATTTTATTTATATGTTTACGTCCACTATATCCAGTCCGCCCATTTTTCTTCTAAATATTCATATGTATGTCAAAGTTGCCCGTACAAAATTCCAGCTATCGCAGTTTCTAAAATAGACGTTTATAAAGAGTACTTCTCTAAGGACTAGGATTGGTCCAAAACATAAACAAACATATGGAAAAAACATACTTCATTTAACATTATGATGTTCTAGGTCAGGATTACGTAATCCAGCTATGCATTACTTCAGTGTAATCACAAAACTACTCTCTTGCTAAAGTTATGGAGTACATGATCCGCAAAGTGGTCCTATGAATACAGTTTTCAAAAAAATTAACATGACACATACCTGCATTACATGGGATTACTAAACGGATCAAGTGCTCCAATAATGTTTACAAGGGAGTAGTTTGGGATTACCTAAATGGATTATGCACTCCAATATATTTAAGTTTTCATCTCATGTAATTAATTTTCGGCTCATTCATATATGTACATATTTCTTGTTATCCTGATAATAGCATTTGGTTCATGTTTGTTTTATTCTGGTATGTTCATTATAATTACTTTTATCGATTTTAATTCCATATTTATTAAGAATACATAACTTCCAATGAGTTTGTTAATTGGTTATTTAATTTCATCAGTTTAATATATTTGTAATTTTCTTAACACTTTTGTTGTCGTTGATATTGATATACATAAATACTTGTTTATTGTACTACATACCAAATGTACACATGTAATACAAAACTTAAATATTTTTGTTGTATTTTTGATTTTGATTACTTGCCACGCCCTTTTACAAATAGTAAGTTTTTTTTTATGTACAAAAAGTGTTGGGGATACAGAATACGAACCTGGGTCTCGTGTTTGTTAGTCCGATGTAGTACTCACAACACATAAATATGATTTTCATTATGTTTGTATAAAAAACAGTTGCGAATGAAATGGCAAAACTCAAAATGAAATACTTACGTATCTGATTATATGTAAGTCATTATTAGAGTATTTAAAGTAATTTAGACGGTATGTAGTAGTCATTGAAGTGCAAGTTTTTGCTGGGTTGAAATATTTTATTTCAAGTATACTTCGACAAGAAGTTTACTTTATTTTTTATGTATTATTTATATACTATGTATATTTACTAAATACAGATTTTGTTGCTGTTTTGCATCTGCTACTTATGTTGTATCTGTGTTTTATAATAATATTAATAGTATTTGTGAGTAAATCTACAAATATACATATTGCTTATTTATTACAAGACTGGCATAATCCATAATTAACCTCAACTTTCTGAATATGGTTTAATTTATTAAATCTCTTGATTTGTTTAAGCATTCAAAGCGACATTTTTGGATTATCCCAGTCTTTTAATAAATGAGCGATATGTATATCTGTGGTGACAATCGATAACCGATTAAGTTGAAAGTGGGGGCTCCAAGTCCCTCCATATGAACGTCCGCCCTTTTTCTAAAAATGTTCTGATGAATATTAAAGTTCTTCGTGAAAAATTTGAAGAATCTAGTTCTATTAGTTTCCCAGATAAACGAAATTTTATATTTAATTTATATGGGAGGTGCCACGCCCTCTGCTGCTAGTCCGCCTACTTTTTATCCTAAATAATCATATTGACTCTAAAGTAGCTCCGACAAAATTTGAGGACTCTAACTGTTATACTGATTTAAAATTTTCTTAATATGGACGTGGCTCCTCGCCCACTTGAAATTTCAAAATAAAAAGTAGCCTCTAACCTCTTCCGGATATACAGGAATACACTGTGCAAATTTCAAGAAAACCGGTTCAGCCGTTTATATACAAACATATAAACATACAAACACACATTCATTTTTATATATCGTCACCTGAAACGCAATCGGCCCTAACAAACTAAAAATCCAAAATCGATTTTATTGCAGATTCTAATGTATTGCATCGAAACAAATGTCCAAAAAATAAATTAGACTCCTCCGACCAAAATTAGCGATTTTATTGACAAAAAACAAAAAGCCCTATCTACAAAAACATTTAAATATTAAAGGTAAAAAGTCCAATTTATCCATTTTTATGTACGCCAATGTCAACTATCATAACCAGGGCAACCAAAAATATGCTCTAAAAAAAGTGTTTTATGAGCATCTAAAAATATACAAAATATGCACTTAAAACTTCTAATTTTCAAAATGAAATCCCCATTTTTTACCATATTTGAGACCTCATAAAAAAGCGGGCAGACACCTTCATCTGAATGTCCAATCTGTCAACTTCAAAATTAAGGTAAAACTTTTGTCATGTCTCTATATTTCTTCGAGATATCTTAACTTAAAGCTTGGAACAACCATAAAATTACAAGAACACAATTTTGCCTTTATTCTATGCCAAACGTATTTGTCTCAATTTGTTCAACCTTTATTTTAAAGTCGACAGATTTCGGACCACACAACGGATTTTATAAATGAAGGTGTCTTCTCGCATTTATAAGGTCTTAAATATGGCCAAAAACATGAAGAATTGGATTCAAATTAAGCGATGCTCAATAATTCAGAAAAGTAAACTTAGGTCTCTGGGTTTCGACTTTTTTAAAGTAAATGGGTCAAAAAAAATTGACAAACAAAATGTTATCAATCAGAAGTAATTTAATTAAAACGAATGGGTTTAAAAATTTATGATTGCTAGAATTAAAAACATTTTATTTAAACTTTTATTTTCTAAAAAAAAATCTAATAAAAATATTAAAAACATTTTTTCTATTTATTAATTTTGTCAGTGGACTTTAAACTATTCCTAACTAATTTCATATTTGTTTACACAAAAGTTTTGAAACAATATGAAATAGGAAAAATTAAAAATACTTTATGAAAGTAGGTATTTATTAAAATTAAATGAAAAGTTATTGTTATAAATTTATAAACATTTATTTTAATCTTTTTGTGTTCCATTTCATATGATTTGCAATTGACGTTCACAACAAATTAAAATACAACTTTGCAGAGGAGTTCAAAATGACCCTCGCATTTAAAGAACAATTTTAATGTTCTTTATTTGTATTTAATACATATTTATATGTATGTATGTATATATTTCTGTATGAGTTTTTAATCTGCATACAATTATATGTACTATTTCCGTTTCCATTTGTTTGCATTTCTTTTCAGAA